TTCAGATGTTAAAGCACAGTGATACTTCATTAAAAATGTGTTAGCTCCACAGGCTTAACTGCAAGTTATTGGTACTGCCAATGAGGTACCCTCTTTTGCTAGAGGAAGGGCACTTCACTCCCTCTCTCAGATTTCCAGTGCTATCCAGTGTTTCTAGCATTGGAAGACTGAATGATATCAGAACTTCTAACAGTCATGTCATGGGTACCTCAGGTTTGTCAGAAAAATTTCTATTCCCAGACAAGTACAACAATGGCAATCATGGTAGAGTCTGAAGACAGGCTGCCTGGACAGACTTACAATGAATTCAACAGGAATTCAAGAGACTTGAGTGAATAAAGTTTCTTACCTGTTACCAGCAACAGGCCACTAGCAAGCTGCTTCAGGAAGACCACACGCTGAAAACCAAACACAACATTAGTCTGAGACAGCAATGCTAAATGCAGTTTGATGTCTGAGAAAATATCAGGACCTGATTTTTGTACAAAAAGTTACAAAGGAGGAGAGACACACTTTAGCCAGAAAGGCAAAAGGCATAGCAGTACCAAATCCACCACACTTTAGAACAAAGACTGTTCTAATTTGACAGGACCCATTCCCAATGGTTAGGGAAACCAAACTAGAAACCTAAGGAGCTGGACTATGTTTAATTGTCTAGTTTAAAAAACTGGAACAGGAACTGGCTTGGGACCCAACAATTTCATTCCTAAGTAGCCCCTTTTGTAAGTTACATGGGTTTATATTGGGTAAAGTCTGGCAATCAACTGCAAGTCCCTCCAATTCTTTACCTATCACAGTGGTATAAGCAAGGCATGGTCTACACTTCTAGGTACATCAATGTATAAATTGTCAGTCGGGGTGCGGGGCAAACCCCCACCCCTAGCACTGACCGAAAAACTCCTTCTGTTGGTATATGCTGCATTTATAATAGGGGGCTATGGCATCACAGGCTCTGCAGAGCATACAGAAACTTCTAACAGACCAGCCAAGCCAATATTTTGAAGAGCAGATGTGGCATGGAAGGATATATGAAAGACAATTCTCCTTTACCTTGCCTCTGTGGCGACCAGTGAGAATGATCAGAACAGTTCCTGGAGTAATAGAAGCCCGCAGTTTCCTCTTGTGTTGGCAGAAGGGCTTTTTGCCATGACTCAAGAGCTTGCGAGGAACGTCTTCAGTTGGATAATATCTAGGCTAGAGAAAAAGCAGCAAATTATTAGCCAAAACTACACTTTTACTATTCCATCAGCGAATTTAGCGAAAACAGTTTAATCTGAGTTTTGATCCTTCCCCTTTTAGTGGATGCAACACCTCTTCTCTCATGGGAAGACTATTTTTCCTGAAAGGCCATTTCCACCCTATCCCACTTTAGATTTGTTTGTTTCTCTGTTGTGCACAGGATTCACTTTGCTGCAGGCTAGCATTTTACAGAAACTGGCACTTCTGAGTGATACATGTTAGGTACACGATGTTGCATTTTGCATCAGATAGCTAATCAGTTACACAACAGAGAAAAAATAATACAGTAAATGTATGTTATTTGTGATTGTATTTACAATTCACTACAGAGACGCCAGAGGAGCCCTACTGTGCTGCTCATTCATAGGCCTAGGCCCATTCAAACAATGGGCCTAGTCCATCATGGAGGTTGTCAGCATCTTCCCATGGGAAACTCCTTAATGCTGCATGCAGTAGTCTCCCTTACATGTCAACAGGCAATTAGCCCAGTAATATACACCCAGAAGCCAACTGTACACATTCTCTGATTCAGGCCACGTCTACACTGCCCAACAGAGGTGTGAATAGCAGTGCTGTGCTGTAGCTCCCCCATGTGAACACTGTGGGTGTGAACGAAAAGGTTCCTAGTTTGCCTGGAACAGCTGCTCTCCAGCTTTATTGTTAAGTGTGCCACTTTCTTTAATAAAAAAGTTATTGTGAAGTAAATGTATGGAACATCAAGCTCCCATAGCATCAGTGATGCATGCACCAGTTACGGAACACCTGTTCTAGAATATTGCAACACAAAAGCCACAATAAATATAAAGATGTGATATGCGTATCTTTTTAAAAGCAAGACTTACTCCCCACCCCATTTTTTCAAACCCCCTCCATTAATAAGTCACTAGCTTAAATGCGAGTACCTACATAACAGTTTTACAGTGCTATACAGACAACCTATGTGGAGATTATACTGTCTTATAGCCCAGAAGTACATCAATAGCAGCACTATCTAAGGAAATTTTTCAATACAGAATAGGGAGCATATTCTCTTGTCATCTACATCAATGCAACTCTGTAACTCAGTGTTTTGCAGGAGCAAAATTCTGCTTGTGCAATTTAGTTAGTTTTTTCCACTAATCTATTCTTACCATTTTACGAACTTTTACCACACGGTTGCCTCCATTCTTATCTCCCCCAACTGGTTTTGTGAGGGTAGCAGGTGCTTTCTCTCTCTTTTTCTTTTCTATCTATTGACAAACCAAAAAAAAATTTCAGACAAGTTAACTTATGAAAGTTTGAGACACAACCTAATTAGTTAAACATCGAAATTCATTCCCCTTATACCTTTGTTTCTGGCGCATCATACTTGCGCTTGTAGATGGCTTTTCTGGCATACATCGCTGATCGGGAATATTTCCCAATTCCTCGGGCCAGCACTGGGTTACGGCTTGCATGGTGCTTTTTAGGCTTCTTTGCCTTCTTCTCACCTGCCTTCTTCTCGCCTGCCATCTACCAAATATCAAAATAAAGTATTAGTGATTGCCACATTAAACAAAGAAACTGTACAGAAAAAATGTAACGGCTGCAAAAAACAAAAGCAAATTATACTTAAAATATCCATGGTATTCCTACAGTGGTCTTGAGACTATTCGGCTATGTTTACTGTACTATCTTTTGCATCAAAGCCACCTAAACTACACAGAGCCTAATCAAGATGCACAGGACACCACATCCATTGCATCTCGCTTGTAACACAAGGCCACGTATGTAGTAAATACAGGTGATACAATTCAGATACCTGACCATGTCCAAAAGTACTAAAGCAGAGAGCCCAGGGAAGAGAAAAATGCAAATACAAGTTGGGGCTGCAACTGCATGACAGCCCATAGAGCGAAGTGGAGAGAGGGGCAATAACCAACTTCTCATGCCCAAGGCCAAAACCACATGGTGATTTGGGGCTTTTACATGCCCTAGACAGAGTCCCCAAGGTGGCCAGGCTCAGATATGATTTACCGCAGGGAGCAGAGACTGGAGGCGAAGGAAGAATCTCCGTCCTATGTGTGCCCACCACCCACACGATACGATCTGCCTCTGGCTGGAGCGTCCTCATACGTTTCGGACCAAAGGCTTCAAGCCGGGCTGGGGCTGCACTTTACAGGCTCCCAACCTCTGCTCCGGCTGAGTCTGGTCACCGCCCAGGGAAGAGGGCTCCTAGGATCACCCCCCACCCGAGGAGTTATTCAATCCATTACGGTGGCTGCCGGATCCCCAGCCACACAGTCCCCATAGCGGGCCATCCGCGGCCTACGCTCCCCGGAGTTACCGGGGCCCGCGAACCCCGCACATACGTGCCCCCCCGCATGTATCCGGGCCCCCCGGAGCCACCGAGCCGGACCCGCGGGCCCTTCGGGGCCTCCTCACGGCAGATGGTGGCAGATAGTAACTGCTACTCCCCCGCAATAAGCGCCGCCACTCCGCCATTCTTACCTTCCTAGAAGGGAAAGGGAGCAATATCCGGGAACCCGGCTCTAAAGCGAGTCCGGCGTCTGACGTCACCCCGTCCACTCCGGGGCACGCTGGGAGATGTAGTCTGTGGCCTATAGCGGTTTCTGGCTGCCTATAGCTCTCTACGGAGCGGAGGAGGGTCAAGATCTGGGTCAAAGGGAGGACACTCTCGCCCTCTGGTTATAGAACGAGGTAGTGGAGGTTGGTCACGAGTGGGACTGACTGGATTCTATCTTGGCTGGGGTTGGAGAAGAAGGTATGTGATGTGTTGAGTAGTTACAGGGCTTATGAGTTCTGTTCTTGGTTCTGCAGATGGCTTAAGCCCCCCCCCCCCCGCAATGTAGCAAACAACTAAGTGTTTAATTTCACTATCTGGAACTTGTAAAAGTAAAGTTTGTGTAAATCTGCAGAATTGGGGTCTTGATTAATAATAAACCTACATGTCAGCGTCATGGTTCTATATGGTTTAGTTTCCCCGTCTGCATATTATGTCAAATAGCTACTTCGCAGAGTTTTATAAAGGTTACTTAAGGTGACACTATTGACTTGAAAAACACAATTGTAGACAAAAATTGTACCTACTCTTATGTGTAACCCCCAACTATAAATGAAAGAGATCAGAGACATTTCTTTTCTTTTTAAGTTTGTTTCTTTGAACTTTTGAGAGCATTTTGAATATAGTAAAGTATCTTGTTGATGGTTAGTTGCGCTTCCCTTCTCAAGCAGTAGGATGACTCCAGCGTGGGAGTAAGATGCCTTCTATTTCTGTAAGAGGATTTTTTTTTGTTTTAAATAGCACTGTTTAAAAAAGGATCTCGATCAGCAAACTAATTTTTTTGAAAACAGTCATTAAAAACAAGTTAACAGTGTCGCCTCAGATCATGTTTGTAAAAGATTTAGATGGAAGGTGCTCCTTTAAGTACCATGTGTTCCCATGAGACATTTAAAAGCTGATCCGGTGCACGCAGAGAGTGCTCAGAAGATGCACCTATGGGTGCACGCAGAGCTCCTCTAAACTATCCAGCCATCATTCCATGCAGATCCCTCGTGCCAGCGGAGTTCCTGGGATAAGGAAATGCAGCCCTCAATGCATGCACCCCGTGCAGCCCGCAGTGCTCCAGGCCAGGCAGCCGAGCGCGCGCCTCGCAAGCTCGCCCCGCCCCCACCCATGGAGGCTGGGCCGGTCGCGGACGGATGACGTCGTGGCAGGCTGCGCCGGGGTTCTGTGTCTCCGCGGCCTGGCTGCGGCTGCTTTTCACGCTCCCCCAGGCCGCGTCCCGCCGGGGGAGGCCCCCCCACCCAGTGAGAGGCCGAGACTCGGGGGGACGGGCAGCTGCAGGCGCCGCGGGGGAAAATGACATCGCGGAGGTGAGGCGAGGGGGCCGGGGCCACCTGCCCCTTTCACTGTGGGGGGCGGGGCCCCATCTTCCCCTGGAGCAAAGGGCCCGGCGGTGGGCGGCAGAGACTCCCCCGGGGCAGGGCGAGCCCCCCTCCCCCCTGGTGCGGGGCCGCTCTCTGCTGCGGGTAATTAAAGGGCAGCAGCCCCCCCCCCATGCCGGGTGTTCTTTGGTGTAGGCAGGGGCCCTCCCCCTGCAGATCACAGTTTAATTTATTCAGTGACCCAGTAAAGTGTCCGTCTGGCATTCCCGGATCTGGAGAATTCACCCCGTGTGGCAGTGGGCATTAGCAACAGATGCATTACTGAGTGTGCGGATTTGGGCATTAAACCGTGAATCAGCTTCTACAATTACTAAGTGCAGGCTAATGTTTTAGGTGGCCTATACGATACGTGTAGTTTAGCAGGGCTCCGCTCTCTCTGCGCTGAGGGGTGAAAACATTATCTACTTCCAAAGACCTGCAATATTGCTGGATTTAGCATTTGAAAAACTCAGTTAAATTTGAGTTTATTGCAGATGTGTATGTCTTTCTGCATCTCATTTTTACTTTGTAGAAGACTCTTGTTTATCCTTTGTCAGTACATTTCCCATTTATTTTCTTTTATTCACTCTTTTTTACCTGCATTTAATTCCTTTGATTATGAAAGCTGACAGTATTTTTAAAAATCTGATTTGCTTTATGCTGTCTGTTTACTTTTTCTTTTTCAGTTTAGAATGATGAAGCTAGATTATCAATTTCATTTCAGGGTTCTCTTCCCTCCTAGCACCATATTATTGTGTGTGGATCTCCAGCAGCTTGGGTAGATATTTAAAGTGGGAGGGAAATTTTAAAATTGAAATGGGGGTGGGGGTGAAATCTTAAGTATTTCTTTTCATATCAGTTTCAGTGATGCTTTCCCACCCCCCCTTTTAAAATAAAGCCTAAAATGCATATGCCTGCATTAGTTAAGTGCCCATTTTACAGTATTTGCTCACTGACTGACTCTTGAGAATTAGTCCTCTTAGCCCATTCAGAAGTTAAAAGGGGTTCATGAGAGAGAGTGAATAAAGATTAGAAATACAGACAAACCAGTGAGCCTATAAGTAGGAATAATTAAACTAAAAGTCACCGCTTTCCCGATCTGTCTAGTTGTGTCAGCCAAAACCCAGAAGCACTCTAATCTGTTCTGCAGTCAAAACGGAGATCTGAGTAGCCCAATCATGAAATGGAGAATCATATTGATTTTGTTTCTCTTTTCAAGGTGGTAAATCGATACTATGCTCCTCTCTCTCCCTCCCCCCAAAATTTTGCTGACTATTCAAACTCTAATCAGAAAAGAGAAATACACTGTTAATGTAGTGTGTGATTCAAGGATGTCCTAAACCTTCTGAGTTCTGCCAAGGGCTTTTGTACAGTCATACCCTGATTCTCCAGAATATTTCTTTATCTGAAACAAGGGCATGTTCCCTTCTATCTATCTATCCCCATCCACCCCCTCTATCTATCTATCTATCCCCATCCACACACACACTCTTGGAAAAGGCCTTCTACTTATCCCCATTGTCCTTGTTGTAAGTGATGTTTGACTGTCTCATTGGTTATCTTTCCACTAGCATTTTTGCCTTATTGTAAAATGCCAAGTAGAATGCTGTGTGGCTGAAACTATTAAATCATGCTTTGGGGAACATTAAACCCTCTGTTCTCATTGTGGTCATAAATAGAATATGTTGCTATGTATTGGTTTTTGATTGTATTCTAAGCTCTTGGTCAATTTTACACTAGGAGTAACTCCTGTGTCTGCTTAGAACAGAGCTAGCAAAGGAAAGCAGAAAAAAATCTAAAATGCATTCCATTCCTATGAAAGGAAACGTAAGTGAAAATCCTCTATAGGGTTTATATTACTCCTGTCTGTGTCTGTGCAATCCTCTGTGCTCTCCCACCAGTGTTGGAAAGGATGTGGCCAGCGTGGTGCAAAAGCGCAAATGTGGTGGCAATATGCCAAATGAGGTTATCCTGATCACCGGTCCGGAACCATTTAACATAGATCACTAACACCCCCATTTCTTTCTATTTGGGGTGGTTGACAAATGCATCTTCCTACTCAAAGCCAAAAATACAAGGGTGAGCAAGCAGGAGAACCAGTTACCATTAGAACAGAAGTTACAACATGTGCAAAAACTTGGTCACTTTCCTGGATGTACCTTTTTGGGTCCCAAACCCCAGCTTTGGTGGGCTATAGGAAGAAAGATCCTCCTTTCATAATCTCTTGCATGATTCCATAACCAATTTTCAAATATGTTATATTAGGGTCCCTTCTGTTCACTGAGATGTATTATCTTCATGTAACTTTACATGATGTGTCTAACTAGTAATGTGGTGGTATGTATATTTGTGTACTTGGAGGACCAGGTGTTGCAAGTAGTGTGTGTGTGTGTGTGTGTGTGTGTGTAAACTTGCAGTGAAGTTAATGGAAGTTCTGCATGTGGCATGCCTGTAGGATTGATTCCAATATGTTCACATACCTGTATCTATGCTTCTCTTTTTCATGTAATTATAACTAAAGTTCAATAAAATCTTCACTTAAATCCCACATACATTAAAAACTCCTGCCTGGCAATGTTTTGAAGTTATTGCTTCTCGTAGAAGTTATATAGTGGGGTGTGATTGTGGGAAACCTACATAGCCAGATTGTTCCTTGGAGTACATTGTCTAGCATCCAGTCCAGTTTGGTTATTAAAATCCCAGGCAATGCGGCTTGCACTGCTTCTCTTGGCAGACTATTCCAAAGATTAATACATTTCCCCATCAGGAAACTTTTCTTGACATTCAGGCAAAATTTTCCCATTATTAATTTCATCTTCGTTCTATCCCTGTGTCTCCCTGTATACCACATAAAATTCTTCTTGCAGTTTACACCTTCCAGGTACTTGTAAAGCTGCTTAGTCTAGTTGTACACATTTAGGACCAGACGTTTAAAGGTGTCTAAAGATAGCTGCTTTTGAAAATTGTACTAGGTGCCTGCCTCTATCTTTTGGCATCTAAATACTTTAAAAAGTCTAGCTCTTGGTCCATATAATCTTTAATTCAATCCCTCTGACCTAAGTTATTGTTTTTTTTTGTTTGTTTTTGTTTTGCAGGGTCATCTTGTCTGTCATCCTGTTGCCACTTAATGGCTGGTCACCAGTGTGGGTTAAGTCCGTCTTTCATAATCCACAGTCCACATAATACACACTATGTGTTAACCATAGATTCCTCTTTTCTAAGCAAATGTGGTCATCTGGGGTCCAGAAGAGGTTAAAGTTATCAGTTACTTAATTGGGTGAAAGTGGGTAGCAGACAGTCAGGTTATGTTGCTGGGTTTAGTTGGTGATGGTAGAAACTTGCCAATCCAGCTAACAGGCTTTACTCTCTTCAACCTTTCAAGGTAACTATGTTGAATATCATGCACGTACTGTGTGTATTTTTCAAAGGAGATGAGGAAAGCTGAGGTCCTGAGTGGGCTTTGAAGATCCCATGACTCTTAGGGCTTGGCTACACTCAGGACTTCACAGCGCTGCCGCGGCAGCACTGTGAAGCGCAGGTGTAGTCGTGCCGCCAGTGCTGCGAGAGAGCTCTCGCAGCGCTGTATGTACTCCACCTTTCTGAGGGGAATAGCTTGCAGCGCTGCGAGCGAGCGTGCAGCGCTGCAGGCACTGATTACACTGGCGCTTTACAGCGCTGTACTCGCTGCGCTCAGGGGTGTGTTTTTTCACACCCCTGAGCGCAACAAGTTGCAGCGCTGTACAGCGCCCGTGTAGCCAAAGCCTTAGGGAAGAGTAGACGTTTTCCCCAATTTTCTTAGCCAAAATGCATGTCTCGCTGTTGTGCTGATTGGTTACTGCCCAGAAGCAGCTACATTTCAGTGGTATTGCATATTTATAGTTTGAAGAGCTTTGAGGTCTTTCAGGATCATGAGCATTGGATAAATGTAAGATTATCTGTCAATTGATTAACTCTTGTCTGTTGTGATAAACTCAAAGTACTGTAGTTGGATTTTTACTTACATTTTCCTGGTTTGAGCTATACCCAGAGTAGTTTATTTTTTTGGTGGCTCTGCTAAAGGTGCAATATTCTGAACGGGGTTCTCTTGGTTAGATAGGATATACACAGACAGATCTAAGGTTCCCATGTAGAATTACTTCCTTTTCAAGTTGCACTTGTGCACCTTTACTTCTAATTTCCCTGGGTATATTAGCTAGACTGACTCTGTTAGGGACTTGGCTGTTTTGGAAGCTCTAAAAGTGTCCAGAGTATTCTTTAGGAAAAATTTGCCGGAGTAGGGAGTATGGAGTATTACTTTATTGGAATAATAAGTCTTTCTCAATTTAAGCTGCCAATCAAAGAGATGCCCTATGTTTAAACATGCACTTGCACAGCTTTCTGTTATGGCAGCTTACTGTGAAATGTGGATTTATGTTGGGAATAATCAGAAATGCTATGTACATTTTTAGTTATAGTATTTTTATAAGTGTAACAGCAGATTTCTGCCAAGCAGCCAAGTGTCTGTATTGCTGTGATGTTTTGCTTTACTCAGGGGAAAAACTCACTGGGTTTTTTCAAGAGCAGTGGATTCTGCTGCTTTCTCTCAGATATGCTGTGTAAGTCTATAATCAAAGTGCATATGTCCAGGGGTGCATGATTTATAGCAGTTACAAAAATAATGAAGCCTTTCAAATGTCTAGGAAGACTTTAATTTCAAGAGTTGAGGTGAAAATAAAACCCAAGAAAGTAGTTTGGCAAAGCCACTGGAGTCAAATGGTTGCACACTGTTTGCCCAGCATTTTGCATTTCTGTGACAGTACTGTATTTTGTTCTGTGTTCTGTCTTGGCCAGCTGGGTGGCAGTGGATACAGTCTTGCTTTTAGTTTCTCAGCTTTTAAAACATGTCTGGTTAAATTGGGAACTCTCCTCAGACATCTGATTGTGTATTGTTTCTCCATTGATTCCCCTGGTACAACTGGGGCAGACTTATGCTTTGGTCCAAAAGGTAATTGAAATAGTAGATATTTACAGCTATAATTAAGTTTCTGTTGTAACTTTCTGGAACACCTTTTGGTAGAAATTTTCCATGCTCAGTCTGTGCATGAAGGTGAACTCATCTAAAAAGTGTCTTGTTTTGTTTTTTTAGTATTATCTTTGTTTCTGAATTTTTGGCAAAGGAGCTGATCTTATTCGTATGTGTGCAATTTTGATGTGTCTTTACTATACATGTCTGTATTGATTCAGCTTCCAACCTATATTTCCCTAGCTCACTTCCTTGTGAGAGAGAGCATCTTTTGGCCTGTACAGGGGAGCCCTGATGGAGAGGGAGATAATGGATAGTGAGGGCTGATGCAAACCTTAGATTTTCTCTTCAGTTGATTGCATTGATAGTATAATAATCCTAGTCTCTCCTTAGTTCACAAAGCTTGTGCCTGGATATCATTTCCAGTTACCTGAATCATAGGACTGGAAGGGACCTCGGGAGGACTAAGTATTATCTAGACCATCCCTGACAGGTGTTTGTGGGCAGTAGAGTTGTTGGCCATCTTAATGTTGCATTACTTCTGTATTGCAGCAGAGGAATAAAACTTGTGCGATGATACGGGAAACATGGACTTGTTAACTAAATCACTACAAATAAGTCTGCTGAAATGTAATGCCATAGGTGGTGATGCTGAACTCTTTAGTTATAGATATAGGCCATATATGGTTTTCCTCCGGCGAGGTCCACTGTTTTGGTCATTCAGGAGGCTGCTTGTGGGTGGTGAAAACCAATATGATGTTCCTCTGTGTTTTGTATTTTAAGAGTGTGATATTTTAGGACCATAGGAATTGACAGACCAGATCAGAGCATTGCTCCATCTAGTCAGGTAGCCAATCTCTGGCAGTGGCCAGTACCAGATGCTTCAGTGGAAGGTGTAAGAAAGCTATATTTTGGACAATTGTGGAATAACTTGTCCACAAGGGAAGTTTCTTCCTGACCCCCGTCATCAGTTGGTGATCGATTTTATGCCCTGAAGCATGAGGTTTTGTTTTATTTTTACTTTTTAAATAAAACTGTCTTAATGCTACTTTGGATGTTTTCAGTATTCTTATGTCTAATTTTTTCTTCAGTCCTAATAAGCTGTAGACCTCCATGGAATCCAGTGGCATCGAGTTCCGCAAGTTGTGTGTATGTTGGTGGTGAGGAGTGCGTGTTTTTGTTCTTATTAGTTGTCTTTCAGTTTCATTGAATGTGACTTTGCTGTTGTCTTATGAGAGGATAAATATGAGTGCCTGACTTCCCTGCTCTATACCATTTGTTTTATATACTTTTTATCATGTCTCCTCTGAAATAAACAGTTTCCAATGGTGTGGCTATAGTACTTCCACTTATATGGCATCTCTTATCAGAGGATCTTCGCGATATGTAGAAGAAAACCTACTTTTAACTGGTGACACGAAAAGTACAAGTTAGAATTACATTGACATTTTTTGAGATGATTTTTTTCAAAGCATAACAAAATTCTTTAAAATCCAATATTGCATCCAGTGATTTTAATGTTATCTGATATTTGTGTGGCAATGTGGCATCAGCTAAAGAGAGATTCTGGTTTTAAATTATTTTTCTTCTTTATCTTGCGTAGATGGTTTCACCCGAATATTACTGGAGTGGAGGCAGAAAATTTACTGCTGACAAGAGGCGTTGATGGCAGCTTTCTGGCCCGGCCCAGTAAAAGTAACCCAGGAGATTTTACACTTTCTGTTCGGTAAGTTAAGTGTTTGAGAGGCTCTGTCCTTAATACCCACTTGGCCCAAACATACAGAAGTTTCCAATTGCCATTGTTCTGTGGAGAGCAATCCTGTTTGGGTAGAGAGATGAGACTTTTGTGATCTACATGTTCTTCTCTATTTCTGACTTCTGAGTCTGTTATGTTGATAGTTTTACATTTTCTTCTGCATAGGAACCCAAATGTCTTTGGTTTTCCAAGTTGTGCAGAGCTTGGAAGGCTGTGGATCCTGGCTCTGTAGTGAGCCAGAAAGGTAGAGGTGAAATGGCAGCCAGTTCATAATTTCTCCATTCCCTACCCTTTTAAAGAAATCCATTAGGCTTCCTGTCCAAAAAGTAGCAGAGCTGACGGCATTAGCAAGATCATGCATGTAAGATCTGTGCTCCTTTATACTGCATTCTGTCTTCTCTTCTCCCCCTCATCACCCCGTTAGCTACACTGATAGTACTTAAAAACTTGCCAGTTACCTTATATAGATATTTGCAGTGTAACTTAATGCCAAAAATGTGCTTGGCACTGTACAACACAGCATGCAAATATAGTCTTTGCCCCAAGGAGCCCACCCCCTAAAAACCCATACGAGAAAGGGCTCATGGAGAAAATCCAAAGGAGGGAATAACATAATTTTTCTTCCCTCTGTAATGTCTCACTTCTTAGGGATTGCAGAAGAAGTGAGGGGGATTTGAATGAGACTAGGATGGTGGCTTGTCAAATAGAAAGAGATCATTCCACACACACTCAAGATACTTTCCTATAACAAGAATAAGGAAATATTGAGGTAATCTCGTTTGTTAGGAGAAATGAACAAGTTTTTAAAGGCAACTCCTCATGTATTCCAGCTTCTAAAATGCGCCTTCTGGAGTACGTGTCCTCTGAGACAATGTGGGGATGGGGAAGGGGAAAAGGGCATGTCTGACACTTCATTGTTGCCTTAGATTTTAAGGTAGTCTTAGTGGAGCTGAGTCAAGGGAAGGAGACCTCATCAAAGATCTATGCATTGGAGGGGGGGAGGGGCGGCTGAAGTTTCCTGACTGAGAATTCCATTTAAGTCCTACCTAGGGCAGTCTTATGATGGCCGTTGATCTCTGCTCTTCATTGATATTAGTGGAGGTAGAGGCTAATTGCTTACATAAATGGCTATCCTTGACTGATTGTAAGGAGCAGACCTGTCTTTAAGGGAAATCCCCATGCTGGGGAACCATGTTAGGATGTCTGAGTTGCTCCTTGAATGTGACAGTTGGAGTCTGTCCAGCCTTTCCTAGAGCCTGACTGCTATACCGGGCAGAGCTGGACTCCACTCTGAAGAAAGTGGTAGCACAGAACCCCTAATGCGGCATCTTGTGGATGATGAAGACTTCCCTCCGTCATGAGAATTGCATATAGAGGACAGGAGGTCTGTGCAGCTTCTATTGGACAATGTGGGTCTATCTGCACTGCAAAAACAAAAAAACCTCTATGGCAGCGAGTCTCAGAGCCCGGGTCAACTGACCCAGGCTTGTGGGACTCACACTACAGGGTTAAAAACAGCAGTCTAGACATTTGGGCTCTGAGACCCAGGGAGGGAGAAGGTCTCTGAGCCTGGGCTCCAGCCCAAGCCCGAACGTTGACACTGTTTTTAGCTCTCTAGCCTGAGCCCTACAAGCCTGAGTCAGCTGATCCGGGCTCTGAGACTTGCTGCCGTGGGTCGTCTTTTGCAGTGTAGATGTACCCTGTGGGCTCATGAAGACTGTTGTGGTTCAGTGGAGCCATTAAGTAATTATGGAATGAAAAAAATCTTATTTCTGTACTGACTGTTAAACAACCACTTCCTCTTCCTGTAATCCTTGATGCTGTTTCATTGCCCTGCTATTAGATGTATAGTTGCTTCACTCACAGTATGCAGTAATTTAGATATGCTGCATTTCATCTGCTGGAAGGTGACTGACATATAAAGCTAATCTACTAAAATTTCCAAGCTAGTAGAGTGGAATATTTTAAAGTGATTGGTTTGAAATTGGCGAACTTGTGTAAGTTGTCTTTTTCTTTTTCTTTTCTTTTCTTTTCTTTTTTTTTGGTGTAATAAACATTTAGGCGAAATGGAGCTGTCACGCACATCAAGATCCAGAACACAGGAGACTACTACGACTTGTATGGAGGAGAAAAATTTGCCACGTTGGCTGAGTTAGTCCAGTATTACATGGAACACCATGGGCAGCTCAAAGAAAAGAATGGAGACGTAATAGAGTTAAAATATCCACTGAATTGTGCTGATCCTACATCTGAAAGGTGAGAGAGAAAAATAGTGGTGAAAAATATGAAGGAGTCCATTCTCCTTTCCACGTATGCATGTAATTCCTATTAACCTTAAAAATTTGCTTTTACTCAGTGTAAGTAAGGGTGGCAGTACCTTACCTTGCAAGTAGTCCAACTGTTTTCTGTGGCACTACTTGCAAAATAAGCTATTACTCAACTTGAGTAAGGGTGGGAGAATCTGGACTGGAGAGGATAGGCCCTATACGTTGCAGTAACTAAAACAAAAACAAAGTAAACTACACAACCCGCTTTCCGATCCTTCTTGGAAAATTTCATTGGTTGCAAAAGCTTCAGAGAATTATTTGTGTTACTGCAGTGACTTCAATATATATTTCAGAGCATATTTTTATCCTGGTAACCCTGTATTGTATGTGGGTTTAAGAAAACAAAAGTCAAATGCAAATACACAGATTGCTGAAACTGACATTTTTAACAAGACAGCACTGATCAGTAGGATCTCAGACTTTGAATACTTACTAAGGAAGTATAGCGAAGGAACTCTTCAGAAATGAATGTAGTTCTTTTTGGAAACTGGAATTAATTAGTCTTGACCCATTATTCAGCATTACGGCCAGTAGATGTCAGTTTATTCTCAGAAGTGAAAAGCAGGGAAAAATAATAGAACCACGCCATCATAAGGTCTGATGAAATAGTTTTCCTTAGACACTATGGATACATTCTGTTAACATAAGAGCACTGAAATCATGCAAGTGCATAAAATAAACAATGGCAAAAAATACAAGAGAAATTTGAGGTATCTAATTGCAGTAACTGAAATTTTATTAGAACCCACTTCAGTTCTTGCTGACTTTTCTCTTGGGATTTCTTTCTTGTGATCTGTATAGATTTTTATTAAGCAATGGTGGCATTCTTCCAAGGTTTAAATGCATAAGAATTGAAGTATCTTAATCCGTTTTCTGTGTATGCAAGTTCTGTTTTGAGAGTTGTTTTGTGCATAATGTTTTATTACTTCTGAAGTATTTCTGTATGTGCGAACACACGCCCTCTCAATTCATATTTTTTCTAAGTCTGTACTTTGCTAGGTTTTTGGGTACCTTTAGCAACACTTGTGGCCCTTGAGACCTCAGTTTAGTATGAACATTTTGGCTTGTTATAGATGTTTAAGCCAGGTGGGCCCAGTCATGGGTACAGTGAGGAGAAGGGCAACTATATTTATTTATTTATTTTATTGTAAATTTAAGGTGGTTTCACGGGCACCTTTCTGGAAAAGAAGCTGAAAAGTTATTAACAGAAAAAGGAAAACATGGAAGCTTCCTTGTGCGAGAGAGTCAAAGCCACCCAGGAGACTTTGTTCTTTCAGTCCGGACAGGAGATGATAAAGGCGAGAGTAATGATGGGAAATCGAAAGTGACCCATGTCATGATTCGGTGCCAGGTACAACAAAGCCGGAACTTCTTGACTGTAAAGGCTTCTTTCCTGGTTTGCATGCTTATTCTGTCAGGAGAGGCATTACAGACTTCTCAATACTATTCAGTCCACTGATTTTGGTCAGACGGAGCTGTATGTACAGCATATTATTTGTTTGCTCAAATTGTCTTCTTTGCTAATTTCAAGAATTCTATTAGTATTTTCTTTTTTTCACTGAATCGTGCCATAGCATATCTATATTGCTGAGGAGCTTCTAAGAGGTTTCTCTTTGGTTGCATCAAGAGTCTGTCTCAAAGCCTCTGCTGATGTAGCCTTTCACATTCATGAATCTCTCTTAAGTTTGTTGCAGTCTTGTCTTACTACTTCTCTTTTTATATAATAGATCTCAGAATCCATTCAGGTGTGTGTGTGGGGGGTTTGTAGCTGTACTCTGGAGGCTGGTTATTTTGTCTTTCTTTCCATAATAACAAACAAAATACAGTAAATATTTAATTCAGGGAAACCTTGTCCTACAGTTTAAACTTCAGGTAGGGTAGTTTGCCTTTACTAAAGAATGTGTTTAAAGTATCTGATGCCAGGATTAATTCTTGATGGCTATTTTTATTCTCAAAACATTTTAATGTGTGCCTGAGTATCGGTGTTAAAGGGTCAAATCTGTTGAAAGTACTTTAATCCTTTTTTAGAAAATACAGTTTTTGTAATACTTTTATTTGTCTTTAAAAAAAGCAAAACCAACCCTTCCCACATGCCTAGTATAGAGAAATCAGGAATTTGGGGTGGAAATGGTGCAACTGAGTGAGAGTGCCTGCTAGAGGTTTTTGTGTTTTTTGGCTGTGCATTCAGTAAATGCCGTCAAAATTTCAAGGTAATTTCCTGCCTTTATTTATAGAATCATAGAATCGTAGGACTGGAAGGGACCTCGAGAGGTCTTCTAGTCCAGTCTCCTGCACTCAAGGTAGGACTAAGTATTATCTAAACCATCCCTGCAGGGGTTTGTCAAACCTGCTCTTGAAAATCTCCAATGACAGAGATTCCACAACCTTCCTAGGCAATTTATTCCAGTGGTTAACCACCCTGACAGTTAGGAAGCTTTTCCTGATGTCCCACCTAAACCGCCCTTGCTGCAGTTTAAGCCCATTGCTTCTTGTACTATCCTCAGAGGTTAAGGAGAACAATTTTTCTCCCTCCTTTGAAACAACCTTTTATGTCCTTGAAAACTGCTCTCATGTCCCCTCTCAGTCTTCTCTTCTTAAGACTAAACAAACCCCATGTTTTCTAGACCTTTAATCATTTTTGTTGCTCTTCTCTGGACTTTCTCCAATTTGTCCACATCTTTTCTGAACCGTGGCGCCCAGAACTGGACACACTATTTCCAGTTGAGGCTAATCAGCGTGGAGTAGAGTGGAAGAATTACTTCTCATGTCTTGCTTACAACACCTCTGCTAATACATCCCAGAATGCTGTTTACTTTTTTTGCAACAGTGAGACCCTGTTGATTCATATTTAAATTGTGATCCACTATCCTCAGATCCCTTTCTGCAGTACTCCTTCCTAGGCAGTCATTTCCCATTTTATATGTGTGGAACTGATTGTTCCTTCCCAAGAGGAGTACTTTGCATTTGTCCTTATTGAATTTCATCCTGTTTACTTCAGACCATTTCCCCAGTTTGACCAGATAATTTTGAATTTTAATCCTCTCCTCCAAAGCACTTGCAACCCCTCCCAGCTCGGTATCATCCGCAGACTTTATAAGTGTGTTCTCCAAGCAATTATCTAAATCATTGAGGAAGATATTGAACAGAACCAGACCCAGAACTGATCCCTGCAGAACCCCACTCGTTATGCCCTTCCAGCATGACTGTGAACCACTGATAACTACTCTCTGGGAACGATTTTCTAACCAGTTATGCAACCCCTTTATAGGAGCTCTATTTAGGTCAGTGGTTCTCAACCATGGGTCCGGGGCCCACTTGGCGGCCGCGAGCAGGCTTCAGGGGATCTGCCAAAATAAACCAGAGAGCAGGAACAGCGTTAGACTTGCTGGGGCCCAGGGCAAAAAGCCGATGCCCAAGCCCCGCTGAGGGCTGGAGGCCAAAGCCAGAGCAACTTAGCTTCACGGGGTCCTCTGTGGTGTGGGGCTCTGGGGAATTGCCTTGCTTGCTACCCCCTAATGCCAACCCTGGCTTTTAATCTACTGGATATGCAGAAAAACAGTTGTTGTGGCACAGGTGGGCTGTAGAATTTTTTTAGCAAGGCGGGGATGGCCTCCGAAAGAAAAAGATTGAGAACCCCGATCTAGGTTGTATTTCCCTAGTTTGTTTATGAGAACTTCATGCGAGACAGTATCAAAAGCCTTACTGAAGTCAAAATATACCACATCTACTAGTTTCCCCCCATCCACAAGGCTTATTACCCTGCAAAAGAAATCTATTAAGTTGGTTTGACCTGATTTTTTTCTTCACAAATCCATGCTGACTGTTACCTAGAAGATAATAAGTGTCTGCAGCTCTTTATGTACATTTATCTTTATGTATATTAGCCATTTTAACATGTTTAATTATTTGAGTTTATGAAAGTTTGGGACATAAAGTTGTTAGAGTTCTCCATGCCCTCGATCTGTTGCTGACCTCATAAATGCTAATGGTAGATGAGATAGTAATTATATTGCTGACTTGCTTTTTAAACAAGGACTACAGTACAAATACCTGTGTTCCAGGACCCAATGTTAGATTCTGTTGTGCTTTTGTTTTGATTTATTCACAAATTCACGTCTGATTCTCTGATTGTATCCCTCAAGTATTCTACTTGGGGTGAGTATCAGATAGAGACACTGTTATCCTTAACATTAAAATGTTCTAATTAGAAATGTATTACAACTTTTCAGTGGAATATGACTGTAGCAAATCATCTTTTATCATTTCAGTATGGAATGGCAGGGGATAGTTAAATAGGTTTTTAAGTACTCATTTAAGGGATCTTGTGATTGGTTGAACATTCTAAAGAGGTAATTAATGCAGACTTTATTTTGATTATTGTGTACATTGCTATGAATGAGCACATTTTGAATATCTTTCTTGGAAGGAGCTGAAATACGATGTTGGCGGAGGGGAGAAATTTGACTCTCTAACAGATCTAGTGGAACATTATAAGAAGAACCCCATGGTAGAAACTTTGGGCACAGTACTACAGCTCAAGCAGGTGAGCTTAGTAAATGCTAGAACTTGGATCATAAACATTTATTAACTTCAGGACATAGAGGTGGGAAGGGTGGTGGTGGGGGGAGCTCAACCTTTTTCTTACATTCTGTAAAGTGTTGAAAGACATTCATTCAGCGTTAAAACCAAAAGTGAATTTACCATCCTCTTTTACAACAGCATCTTAATCTTTCAGGGTGGTCCAATGACTGGATTTAAGCTGCTAGTTATTTTTAGCCATCTATAAAGGACCTAATTCTCTGGACCTAATTCTGGTGCATCTAGAACTCCCCTTGGCTTCATTGAGAATTCTGGGTCTACAAGGATTTTAAAATCCTGTCAAAAAGAGAGGAGGAGAGGAAGCTTAATGCACTGAAACTGGAACCATGAAACTGTGTGACTACCACCACATGAATCTGATTTAAAAAAAAAAAAAAAGAGGGGGTGGGGTGGGGCTTCAAAATCTGGAGTGAAGCCTGGGTCCTAAAACTCTGAGTGGTACCTACATACAATATGTTTAATACAGGAGATCTGTGTAAACTAGCTTTATCCTGTTCTGTTTGCTGTGCTGTGGTTTAATATAAAATATCTTTCTTGATTAGCCCCTGAATACAACCCGTATTAATGCTGCAGAGATTGAAAGCCGGGTGCGAGAACTAAGCAAGCTAGCAGAGACCACAGATAAAGTCAAGCAAGGCTTCTGGGAAGAATTTGAGGTAATTTAAATGTTTCAAATGTAAAGCTGGTGTGTCTCAGTGATAGAACTATAATTTTACCACAATTTCCCAGCTGCTTAGGGCCCTTTGCCCCTCAAATCTTTATTCTTGCTCCCCACTCCTGTGCCAGATATTGCAACTTCTCCAGTTTGCCAGTTCCTCTCATGCGTCGGCCAAAGATGAGTGCTTGAAAGGTGTGCCTTTTCTTTTAACCCCGAGCACTGGCTCCCACCCCGTTTTGAGCTGATATTGTTCTGGGCTTAGGAAGACATTGCTTAACAGGAACGGCTGGGATTTTGGCACCAACTCATGTTGTCTTTCAGTGGGAATTCTTGTAGGCTCTCTTGAAAGTCCCAGAGACAATAATTTTGCATTTTTCTAATTCTTCTTATGCGAGGATTTCAAATTACTTTACAAAAAAAATTAAGCCTTGTGACATCCCAGTGTGGTAGGTGATTTTTTTCTGATGGATAGAAAGAGGCAGAGGTACTATAGTTTCAGTGGCAGAACCCAGGAGTCCTGATGACCAGTTCCCCACTCTAACCACTAGATGACACTCCCTTCCTTACAAGTGAAGTACAAACAAGTTTGGTATTAGATGGCTGGTTAGCAACTCCACTGGACATAATAGTCAAAATAGTGACTTTTGTTTATGCTTTTATAGGATTTGACTGTCATTTTTTTTTCAGAGGAGCCTATGGGAGATAGGTGCCCAACTCTTATTGAAATTTGATAGGATTTAGGCATCTGAGGCCTGGTCTATACTAGAAAATGAGGTCAGTTTAACTATGCTGGTCAGGGGTGTGAAAAATCCACACCCCTGAGCAGCATAGTTAAGCCGACCTAAGTTCCATGTAGATAGCGCTAGGTTGACAGAAGAATTTTTCATCGATTTTTAGCTAGTGCCTCTCGGGGAGGTGAATTACGTATGCTGACAGGAGAACCCCCTCCCATTGGAGTAGGTGGTGTAGCGTTTTGTAGACAAGCTCTAACTCTACGCAAATATTTAATTCGCAAGAAGCTGGGAAGTAAATCTACCCCGCACTAGCTTGCCATGGTCTAGTTGTCTGTGTGGACTCTGCTGGCCTGTATTAATAGTTGCACTTTAATCTACTCCTATTTCAAAGAGGACTAGATCAGACTGTTGACGTACGTCAGCAGGGACAGCTAGTCTGCGGCTGGCTAGCGTAGGGTAGATTCACATCCCACCTTGCTGTAAGCTAAGTGTTCATGTTGACAAGCCTTTTGGTTTTTTTTTTTTTTTTTTTTGAAAATCCCTGCTTTTCTCTTCTGCAATAACTGCACTTTGCATGGAGAAAATTGAATGCAGTTGTTCCCCAAGAAAACTCTCTGCTTAAATTGCCAGTTAATTTGCAAAGATTATTTAAAACCATACTTGATGGCAATAGAAAGTTTCCAGTGGTTTAGACTGAAGACTGCATTGTTTTTACAATTACATGGTGTTAGCCAATACATATATGTTAGGCGTAGGGCATACCATATTAATATTGTATTACGTCCAACATGTGGGCAGTTAACTGAATTGTATTATATCCTTCCCACGGTTCTGTCCACTTATGTCAAGAGATGTATATCCCACAACACTCTGCAAAACAAAATGTAGCTTTTGGCATTAGCAAATATAAAGCCTGTCAAAGGCAAGATATATTTGTTCTATGTCCTAATACAGGTACCTTCACAGGGAACTGGTTTAAAATATGGTATCCCAAGCAGAGATAGGGAAAGATATAGAACAACAAATTAAAGAACTGGTACAAACTGGGTTGGATCTTAGATGACCTATAAAGTGCTTTCTAATTTGTAAGCAATTGTGTTATAAATATAAGAGGGTTTAGGGGTATATTTTGAAGCACACTTACTGTGTAAGGTGACCTGAACAGCGCTGTAAGAAACTGCTTCCCAGAAAGATTGGTATTGTATTAACTCTTTTTTTCTTCCTATACTGTTCTGCTATTGATTTCAAGTATAAATTGGCTATATTTGTCTAGTCAAGCAATCGACTATGCATTTTGAGCAACAATGGTTTTGTAAAAATAGAATCCAGGATAAACTTTCACATAACTCAGCTTGCTAGAAATTTCAGGAGAATCCACAAATGTGAGTGTAAAGTTTTTGCTTAAGCAGTTATATGCAGTAGAACAAAATGTCATACCTGAATTTATGCCCAGTAAATACTAGTAAACATTTCCAACATAGCATGTTGCTTTTTCAGTGTTCCTTTTGGTGGTAATAAGAAATGGATGTGTGAATAGTGATATGGCTGCAAATGGGGAAAATAATCCATTTCAAAGCTGGCCCATTCAGTTTTTTATATTATACCCTTTTAAACTGAGGGGAAAGAAATAAGCAATTTAGAAAACAAAAGTCCCCAAGTGTTAGTGTGCTGATCATGGCAGGATCGTGAGGGATAACTGGTCAAACACACTCACTGCAGTACAAATCTTCCTCCCCAGCTATTTATATAAAACACTCTCTCGTCCTTGAATTCATTGCTTCTTCACTCACATTTTGGGAATGCTAAAATAAAACTACTGCAGAGAGGGACTCTTTGAGCCATTTTCCAGGTTAATTTTAAATAGTGTTGGAATGACAGCTGTATAATCTGTATGCTTTGCTTAGGAATTTATTATTATTTTGTTTGGGTGCAACCCCTCCATCTGGAGCTACCGTTATCATCATCTTACCAGAAAGAGAGTAAGGGGGACGTCTCTTCCCCTCTATGCGATAGTGTATGTACCTTCTACATTTTTAATAGCATCTGGTGCTGGTTTCTTCCTTTAAAACAAAACAAAACAGCCTATTGATTTGAGAGTGATTCTCTGTATGTAAATTACCAGTTTCAACAGTATTCCCCATTTTCCCCCTCAAACGGAAGAAACGTTAAATACAACCACTGTATACCGTATCCCAAACCACAGTGAGATATTCCTGGCTCCGAAATTTTCTCTACCAACTGGAGTGATTCAGGAACAAAGAGGAAAAGAGTGAAGATGATAGCCGCTTCTAAAGGCCCTGGTGTAAATATAGTGAAATGGTTCCCGTAAAACAGGTTTATATTGAAGAACTTCCTTAACTGATTCTGGAATATATATTGTACCACCAGCAGATGGAGACAGGAAATCAAGGAATGTGATGTCAACTTCTTTTATAAAGAGGCCGGTTCCAGCTGCATAATACTGTTTGAGAAACTTCTTGAACACTGTTGGGGTTCGAGAGTGGGTGGGGAGAGTAACTACCGTTTGTTAGATAATGAGGATATATTTGCAAATGCATTCACTAGCTGAATAAAATCCTCATGATTATTCAGCCAGCTGGGCTACTTGACTTACAAAAGTTTGGATTCCAGACGTAAGCTTTTGCCTTCAAAGTCGTCACATATTATTTCTAGTAACTCTGCTGTTTTGAATTTCCTAATTCAGTGTGTTTAACCCTTTGAACCAACCTTATCAAACCAACCTGAATGCTGACGCATGAGATTTCATTTTTCTAATGATGTCTAGTATGATAGTCAAATGTCAGACTTTTCTCGAGAGCCACCACTGTGTGCACTCTGTCTCATCATTCCCAATGTGGTGCAAGTTTTAGTAAAACCAGTTGTTTGTGCCCTTTTCATCTAGACTTTACAACAGCAAGAATGCAAACTTCTATATAGTCGTAAAGAGGGTCAACGGCAAGAAAGCAAAAACAAAAATAGATACAAAAACATTTTACCTTGTAAGTAGTATTCACTCTTTTTCTTGTTTCACTGTTAACATTGGGCTGGTACACTCACGTATCCTTTCACTGGGAAGCTAATCATTATTGGCCAGTAGTACAGTGCTGTTCTATTAAAACACCAACAAGCTAAACTATTGCTCAGTGATCAACACTAGTGCTTAGTAAGTTTAAGAGGATTAATTTGTGCTGTAGGGTGCAGGACAGAATAATTATATATACTTTTTATATATCTCATATTCAGATTAATTGCAAATATGAAGCACTGACTAAATAATTGTCCTAGGGAGCAGGGAGAGAGGAAAGGTTGAGTCATCTGGCCATTTTCTTAGCTATTAGAAATGGTAAGTAGTCAAGTACATGCGAAACTTGGCCTTCATGTAGTTTGTTTGGTACTAAGGAACCAATTACAAGTTGACTAGTTAGCAATCACATAATGCAGCAGTTTAACATGCTGTTTACTTATTCTTCCTCTAGTTGATCATACCAGAGTTGTTCTACATGACGGAGATCCAAATGAACCAGTTTCAGATTATATCAATGCTAATATTATTATGGTAAGTGTTATTGCCTCCTTCAATCTGTCACTGGCACAGAGCATAGCATGCTTGCTATTGTATTCCCTCCTAAAAACAAATTAAAGTCATTTTACAATCACATCATTCATTGATATTTGTTTTGATCTCTAGCCTGAATTTGAAACTAAATGCAACAATTCAAAGCCAAAAAAAAGTTACATTGCTACTCAAGGCTGCCTACAGAACACAGTGAATGACTTCTGGAGAATGGTATTCCAGGAGAACTCTCGTGTTATCGTTATGACAACAAAAGAAGTCGAAAGAGGAAAGGTAAAATGGAACCTCAGGCGGGCCCCACTGAAAGTTATTAAGTTTCAACACAAGTAAGGACTAACCAGACTTCAGTCACATTGACTTACAAGTTTAAAAATGGTGATATGGTGCAGCTACAACTCCCATTGGAGACCCGGGCCCTGATCTGCAAGATGCAGAGTGCCCTCTCCTCTCACTGATAGCGATTGGAATCAAGGGCACACTCATCTCACAGGATCAGGCTCTTGTTTAATAAAGGCTGACTAAGTTACAGCTGCCTTACATGAATTTACTTACTGCAAAATTACTTAAGGGGAGGGAACAGTGAAGGAACTGGTGCAGCCAGGCTGGCACACTGTACACTTTAAGGGAGTTAATGCCGTGTGCTTGAAACTAAAATATTGCTGTTTATTGGTATCAAGCCCAAACTCTATTAGTTGCAAAGCCTTTGTGGATTCTATTTGTATAAGCAGGTTGCGGGGGAGGGGAGAAGGCAGTTATTACTATGAAAATAAACTTCTTGGAGTGCACCACTTGTTAACTGGAAATTTCGACAGTGTTAAGTGAAATTGTCTGCCATGCATTCGTGCTAGCCTGAATAGCGTTTATGAGACTACCAGAATGTGTTTCTCTTCTTCCTTCTTTATTTTCACTACTTTCCAGACTTGGGATTGATAAAACTCTTTGGGCTTGTACAATGAGCTAGTCATTTGGATTGTAACTGCATCCAGATGAGACTCCCCAAAGCAGAAGTGATTTAGCACGTTTATTTCTAACAATGTTTTCTGCCTCCAAATGCAGTCTGCGAGCCATGTTCTGCATGAGCACATGTGCTCACTCAACCCTAGTGATCTGTGAGTCTCTAGTGAACTGCTCTGGCAATACTAGCATGTTTATTACTTTGAAAGAGAGAACTTTTACAGTTATGTATCCCAGAACCTCGTCTTGTTTCTTTAAATGCAGAGAGATCTCGTTTGTTCCCCCTCCTGCGATCTGGGGCTGTTACTCTGTTTCTGGATCCTAAACTTGTCGGGTGGGTGGGTGGATGAGGGGAAACAGAAGATCTGCCTTGGATTTTTGCAAACACTTTTGCTGATGGTCTGTACTTGTTCTCTTAGTTTCTGTGCCTTTTCTGTGTTCTTTCCTCTATCTCTTTGTGAATATGATATTTCGTGTTTGAATCTTATACATCATGTCTTCAATAAAAAGAAAATTATCCTTCCACTCAGTATGATGAGGGCCTGGAAAAAGGCTGAGTAAGAAGACGGCTAGTGCTCTGTTATGTAACAAATAATTGACAATGTTTTTTCATTTGCGTGACCATATGTAATGAGGAATTTTAATAATCTTAGTACAGAAGCTGGATATTTGTAGCTTTTGTTGGCATTTCCCCCCACCTTAAAGTCTCCAGCCTGCCATCAGCAGGGCGGTGGGTTAGTGACGAGTTTTGACTTCTGAGTTGTTAAAATCCTGCCTGCCCTTAATTAAAAAAACAAGAACAAACCGAGACCTCTCCCTGGCTGGCTTGATGATGTGTGACAGGTTCCCTCTGTTCAGAGTGCAGTGAAGAAAGACCAGCTGGTTCATTGGAAAGAGCTGTGCTTTGGCTTCCTCACTCCTGGAACAAAATGAAGAGATTTTGGGTGGTTTCAAAGGAGTTACGCTTCAGAGCACCCTCAGAATCCTGTAACTTCTGTGATGTTTGATCAAGTGGGCCAGGCTCATCTTGACTTTCAGTTTTTGATCTATGTTTTTTGTAAAGGATTGCTAGATGTTGCTGATGCTCTAGCAATAGCCGTTTTGCTTGTTCCACCAGTCAACACTTCTGCTGCACATTCCCCAAGTTTCTTGGCACTTCTCTCTAAATCGTGCCAGTCTGCTCTCCACACTAATGACATAGCCCTTTAAAATGATTCAGTAATCAGAGCGTTAAAGTACTGCATCATGTGCCAAGTGTTTTTGAGATATGCTTCAGCCTTTTCTCTTCAGTAGACACTGATTGCTGGCCTGGTTGGATATGAAAGCTTTTACACCCCAGGCCAAGGTGCTTTTTGATCTGCAGGAGGTAGAGGGAAGCATCTTGCCCAGAGAGGATGACTTTAGGAACAGTTTGCTTCAGGCAGTAGGGGATCCTGAAACTGTCTCAGACCTATCTAGGACTCTTAAGACTGCAAAATATGCAGGAGGCGAAGCAAACTAAAGTACATCATTATGAATTAAAATAATTCTCTCTCTCAATTGTCTCCACCTTGTCTCTCTCAAATTAAAATAATGCAGTCTTGGAAGGGATCCACTGAGCTGATGTACAATGCGTCCCCATTCCCATACTGATGACTCTTTAATATTACACATTACCGTTGAGACTCTTTATGCCAACAGATGCTTCCTTGTTCAATATCATGCATTAAAACTGCAAATTGTTATCTTTGTCTGCTTAAATACAAGATGTGGGTTTCAGTGCAGCTTGTGCTTTTTGCAGAAAATACAAACAAACAAAAGCTTAGATCCAAAGCATCCTGGCAAATGGGTATGCATACATCCCTCATCTAGCATAATATCTTCTCATGTTGGCAGCAAGATCCTTTCCTCTGTTGTGTTTTCTATCTGCTGTTGAGTTTTGGCAGTGAAATTATTGACCTTCAGATGCACATTTATGGGGAAGTTGTTCCCTACAGTAATCTGTGGGTGGTCTGCATTTGATATTGCTAGAAAATCTGTCTATGTATCTACTACAGATTGTTCATCCTTACAGTACATGGACTAGGCTTGCATTCTTAGGTTCTCAAGAATCATTGTATCTAGCTATTCCCTATTACTGTTTTCACTTGGTTCTGGAGGACTTGCTCCTTGTTATATGGAATACATCATCACAGACAATAGAATAGTCTTCCAAGGGAAGTGGGGCACTCTGAACCAGGCTTAAATAGCAACAGAGACAGCATTCTGCACCCCCTGGAGAACAATTCCTCATTGCTTGATGGATGACCCGAAGAGCCCAGTGAACCTTCTGTGCTCTGATTTCTAGATGAGGCAAAGGGCAAACTTCTTCCAAGATGCTTCTATACTAAAAATGGCCAGTTTCTTTGACTTATATTTATAGCTTTAAATATTAGGTTTTAGAGCTACTTGTCTGATTAATGCATTCCTCTTGAAGTTCTCCATGTATTAAAACTACTTCTGAGGTGAGTGTGTCATGCTTCTAGGCTTTCCTCTTTGCTGTCACTGTGATGTGGGTTTTGTTTTTGTTTTTTTGTAATCTACTGAAGCTAACAACATCAGGAACGCTGCTGGAAAGCAAATCTTTCCCCCCCCCCCCCAATTTATCCTTATTGTCTTGGACCCTCCGAGCTTCCTTGCATTCTCTTTTCTCCCCCATCTTGCACAGGAAAAAGAAATATCGTCCTTGAATGGACATTGGGTAAGACAGGCAAACCTAGCTTTGCCTGTTAAGCTAGTCTTAGCCAATCTGCACCATGCTAGTAACTGTGTGAACTGGGTATTTATATAGACCATGAAATCAGATAGTAATTGCTTTTTTTCTTCTGTCTTCCAGAGTAAGTGTGTCAAATACTGGCCTGATGAATACGCATTAAAGGAATACGGGGTTATGCGTGTTAGGAATGTTAAGGAAAGTGCAGCTCATGACTATACGCTAAGGGAACTGAAACTTTCTAAAGTTGGTCAGGTAAGTATGTCAGTAGCTTTTCTTTTTTCCTTTTTTTTTTTTTTTTTTTTGGTTAGTCCTTTAGAGTTTCTAACAAATATTCATCTTTTAATTTAGGCTGCAAAAAATAATTGATGAAAAGACTAAACCTTCTATTGGCCACAAAGGGAGAGTCCAGGAACAGGCTTTTAGTTTTAATAAATTAAGTCCTGTCCTCCACTTTGAGACTCAAGTTCTAAGTCAAGGAATTTGGTCTTTTGAGCTTGGGATAATGTCTTTATTTTCCATATTCTTGTAGCCATTATTTAAGCACTTCAGCAGAGAACGTGTCTCTGTAGATTTATTGGGAGACCTGAAGTTAAGGTGGTCTTGCCCTTAAGTGCAAACCAAACCATCCTTCAATCTATTTAGATGCTCACATGTGCCCCTTCACTATAATATCTGAGTGCCTTGCATCACCTTCATTCTTAAGGTACCTATGTAATGATTGTTGTTAGTCTGCTCCTGATGTGGGAGCCTCCCTGTTCGCCAGTACCAGAGCAATTCACTACTGCCATATTGCCAGGTTTAATTGTTTTACTGTTTTATTTTTCTTCTTACTTTTGCGTACTGCAGAAGAATGCTAAGTTTGAGTATATAGCACAGGGTCACTGCCCTAAAGAGCTTAGTCTGTGACAGAAGGAGCTGCATACCGGTGGGGTGGCAGTGAGCGAGGAGATAGCCTTGGTTACTGTATGTGGTTACTCAGCATAGGCATGTGCATGGCATGCTTGACTTGTATATGAATGAAAAGGAAATGGACTCTACTTGAAGGTGTTAGAAGTGACTCTCAAAGGAGGGGTTTGAATGATGGGAGGGTATTAGGTTGGCAAACCAGTTCAGGCAGACCATTCTGTGTGCAGGCGAGCGTGTGGAAAAAGGTGCAAAAACTGCTGAGGGATAAAGCAAACAAGCCAGTTGCTTAGGCTGATGTCACTGGCAGAGTGAGACCACGAACGGTGGGTGCCAGTGGGAGGAGAGCACAACGTGGTAAGAGACTAAGACCCTGATTCAGCAAGTAGGAAAGCACGCAGATCATCCCACTGAAGTCAGGTTAGGGTCTAGGTCAGGGATAGTCATGCAGCATCCTGAAGGTGAGGACAAGAAGCTAGAGATTGATGCAATAGAGAAGCAGGGAGCCATGAAGGGATTCAAGGAAGCAGATGGCATGGTCAGATTGCCAGGCCAGGAAGAACTGTCTTGGAGGCTGTGTTCATTTGGAGTGGAAGGGAGCAGTGTGGGTGTTGGGGAGGTTAGAGAGAAGGTTACTGTAATCAAGAGGAATGCATGGCCTTTTTAGTTTTTGATGGTGTTAAGAAGGCCATTGTGTGTTCCTTTTTTTTTTTAAACCAAGTCTGATTCATCCTGAGTAAATGGACGCTTTTGGTTGGGTTTCTCTGGATATATTTAATTTTTTCACATGTATGTTGGTGGCTCTCTTTCAGGGGAACACTGAGAGAACAGTTTGGCAATATCACTTCAGAACCTGGCCTGATCATGGAGTACCCAGTGATCCTGGTGGTGTCCTGGACTTCTTAGAGGAGGTCCACCACAAGCAGGAGAGCATCGCTGATTCAGGACCTGTTGTGGTGCATTGCAGGTACAATAATGCAACTTATTTCCTAGCTTCTGCAATAAGCTGCTTCTTGATAATACCGTCTGGAAGTCCAGTACATCTTTATATTGGACACTTATTTAGGTTGGGCTACTCTGACGTTATTGCCTATTCAGAAAGGAAACCATAATCATGTCCTTATTTTTTTTTTTTTTTTTGACAGTGCTGGGATTGGACGAACAGGAACTTTTATTGTGATTGATATTCTTATTGACATAATCCGAGAAAAAGGTAGGTCCCCAGTTTAGTTTCTTCACAAGTGCTGTGAAAGTGCCATTATGTGATCTGTGAGAAGGAGACAATTGGTGAAGATCAGGAAGAAGTTGCAAAGTGTATGTTTGTGCCTGGCAGAAATCACATCCTTTAAGATGTGCTCCCATTGACTTCAAAGGGAGTCATATGGCCAAAGCCCGGAATGAGGATTTTGCATCTCCCCTACAGTGATTTTGTAAATTCCATATTTTTTGCTAGCATACCTGCTTTTTGCCAACACCTTTATTCTGCGACTATCCATTTGTACCTACCATTTGCCATCTTTGCTGTCCAAAGCATTTTAATGATCTTGGTTTCCTATTTGCAAGGGCAAGTTGTGAGGTCCTCCAAAGTTATAGTGGACAGACAATGCCATGTTACTATCCTTTATATAACTCAACATAAAGTTAACACTAGACTGATATAAGGTCTTTCCTGGTCAGAAGACTGCTCATCACTTGTCTCCTTTCTCAGCTATGGTGGGGTGGACTTTTTTTCTTTAAGTTCCAAGTATTCCACCTCTACCTTAGTGCCTCTGTATTATGATGAACATTTTCAGCTGAAGACTGGATGTGACTTCATTTGGAGTCTAAGTAGGGTAATGCAAAGTGATGGTTCTTTCGTCCTCTAGAACAGCTTGGCATCTTGTCTTTATAGTACTGCAAGTTTATGTACAAATGGCTAAGCAAGAGTCTCAAACTCAGATTTCCACACCAAATCATTATTCTAGTAGTCCCAAATGTGCTATGTGTTTTACATTCACAAGGGAAAACAGAGTCTCTGTCCCAAAGAGTTGACAGCTCCCCCCCTCAAAAAAAGAGCATGTGTTACACTGCTGCACTAACACTGGTGGTCTCTTCTAGGCGTGGACTGTGATATTGATGTTCCAAAAACCATTCAGATGGTGAGATCGCAGCGGTCAGGGATGGTTCAAACAGAAGCGCAGTACAGATTTATTTACATGGCAGTACAGCACTACATTGAAACGCTACAGCGTAGAATTGAAGAGGAGCAGGTACGTTGGTCCCAAACCTACCACGGTCTTTGTGCAGTGATGCCGATTAGGGGCTTGCTGTGATGATGGGAACGAGCAGAATTGCCCTGTTGCTGTCTGACTTTTTGAGGCATATGTATTGTGTGTTGACTGTATACATCATGAAAAGCCTTGTTCTATTAAACTATTCGTTCAAAGAGCTTTACTATCTATTTCAAGTCACTATCTTAAAAGACTTATTGAAACTGAGGATTTAGATAATTCTAAAGTAGTAAGAACACTTACCGGTAGTTTTCAGCCATCTAGGAGGGGGCGAAGATTCCTCCATCACCATTCCTCCCTACAGTATTTTCATGGAAGGTGCAACAACATCTGAGGCCCAGTCCTGCATCCCTAGTGCACTCAGAACTCCCATTAACTTCACTGATCAGGTTAGGATGTGGAAGGAATGAAAAGTAAGACTCTCAGTCTTAATAAAGAAGACTCTTTTATGCTTCGTTTCAAGAGTTATTTCAAGTCTCTCCATTAAATCTCTGTTTGAAGTGTAGCAATTGTATTCAATCAGCAGTCAGGGCAACACCTGTTTTGGAAGTCAAACATTTTAAGTGTTTAATGATTAAAAGGTGTTTATGTTGGGCTTAGTTTAAGTCTTTTTGGAAAGAAATCCTTTTAAACAATGGAGCCAATGTTATTGCAGCGTAATAGCCAAGGAAGAGAGAGCATTTGGAGCAGAGACTCTCGTAACAAGGTAGAGTGACTGCATTGGAATGAGTGTTGGTTAGCTCAGGATTAGTTAAAGTGGAATCATGGAGGTATTCCTTGCTCTGGAAAGCTCCAGCAGCCCCCAAATGCCTTTGCAGATTGTTTATATTGTGTTGTGATGGAGAAAGGGTTTGTTCTTTTTCTGTCCTTTTCTTCCTTGGCGCTTTCATTCTTTCAACCCTTACCCTAAATGACTGCCATCCTGGATTCTTAGCCTTGTCTGAAACAACAGGGGGCTGTTCTCCTCTGCAGTTCTCCATACTGCTGCAACAATTATATAGCTAAAGCTACTGATCTTTCTCCCTCTTCCAAGACCATTCACACCATCTGTTACCCACCTAATCCCCACCACTTGCAGAACAGGAGCTAGGCGCTTCAGACATTTTTCTTTTATGACTCTGCTATGTCCTACCTTGCCTTAAAGCTCACTGAAGTTTGAAAATGCACGGAGTTCTCTGCAAAGCTCTTACCCTCAAATATTATATATTGTTCAGTTCACTTGCAGCCCTTCACAAAATTGCCACTACTGTCTCTTGGCGTTTGTTTTTAGTTCCAGTGTAGTTTTTCCAATATAAATGGAACTAATATCATTACAATAGTGTCTGATACTAGAACAGAGGAATCTCTCTCTCCTATGATGGTCAGATTAAATCTGTAGTCATGTAAAACGTATACTACTGTGCTAAAATGGTAACGAGACTTAAACTGGATTCTAAGCTTTTCTTTACTCTAATACAGTACTAGTGCTTCTAGTTTTGGACTAAAAAGCCCTTTGAAGCTCTTGTCGGAAGCTAATGTGATCCTGAGCAGCCTTGTGATGACCTGATGTGGCGCCACATGTGCAGTGAGAGAGAGGAACAAAAATGGATGGAAATGGGTTGAGAGCATCAGTAGAATGAAGGAAGCAGCTGAGTGTCTTCAGTCCCCAATTTGCAGTTTATTTGGGGGGGGGGGGTGAAATTTACTGTTTCCGTCGTCCTTTCTACCAGTGGAACAACCCCACCTCCCGAAAAAATAGTTGTGGAAAGAAAAGCTAATGAGTGAAGCAAGTTCTGTGTCATATTCTTGCCCTAATTTAGAAAATGTGTTGAGTCGTTTGCCCAGCTCTACTCTAGAAATATTCCCCGTTTCCTTTTGGCATTGAGAACCTCTGGAGTCTTGATGTAATCAAGTAGTGTGTTAAATATTGCCTGTCTCTTTCGTATGTATGAAAACTACAAAGTAAACTTGTTTGGTTAATTTTCTTCTTGGAAGCAATAATTTTTTTTTTTTTTTTTGTAACACTGAAGTGACTTGAGTAATTATTTCTAATTAGGAATAATGGAAATGTGGTAGCAATAATTAAACTGAATAGTAGAAATAATTATAATGAATTAGCGAAGTCAGAGGAAGAAAAGCCTTAGATTTACATCTTCATGGTTTGTTTTCTCTAATTTAGTCAGATCAAAGAACAGAGCTGACTTTGATTCTGCTTCTCTGCTGCTTTTACACTTAAGATACGTCTGCTGGTTGAATTGGCATTTATCACATAGTTAGAAGAATTCAAAATCCAATTTTAGGCTGCAGCATAAAATTGACCTTTATTAGCTGTGTCCAGGTGAGAGGTGTGTACCTCACAGATTCTAAATTTGGGCAAGGCCTGAACCTTTATTCCCCTTAAATCTGATTTTTGAAAGGTTACAGCAACAAAATTTTGTTTTTGACTAGGGTCCCTGCAAAGTGATTTGTCAGGAGAAGGTGGGAGGCAGAAGTGGTAGGAACATCCCATTTCTAGTGCCAGCTGCGTATAGCAATATAGGCTGAGATTTTCAAAGTTGCCTTAATGGGAATTAGGAATCCAAGGCTATGTCTTTACTTAAAATGATACAGTAGCATTGCTGCAGCTACACTGCTGCCGTGCTTCAGCGTAGACACTCACGACAGCAATGGGAGGGGTTCTCCTGTCCCTGTGGTTAATCCACTCGAAGGCGGTAGCTAGGCCTATGGAAGAATTCTTCCATCGACCTAGTTCTGTCTACACCGGGGATTACGTTGGCATAGCTACATCTCTCAGGTATGTTTTTTTTCACACCCCTGAGGGACATAGCTATGAGGATGTAATTTTTCAGTGTAGACCTGCCCCATGTCTCCTAAGATGCTTTGAAAATCTCAATCATAGAATTGATTGGATCATTAGGTGCTGCTGGTCTGAGCACTTCAAGAATACACCTTGGAAAAAGTTAGGAGTGGGGCTTGCACTCGTATTTGACCATTTAAACCTTGACTTTGGTGTATATTTAGCTATTGTTAATGTCTATCCTAAACTGGAGAATGATGCCCATTTGCCCCAGAGACCCACTGGCTGACACTGTCTACTGTACAGTGAAGGATGGATCTTTTTGCCAGGTTTGGATAAAGAAAATACGTTCATGTTCACGTGTGTGAACTCACAAAGTTGGCACATCTGGTTAGAGACTGGGGGCGGGCGGGCAGGGACCAAGCATTCTGTGAAGATTTTTACCGAAAGCTTCCAGTAGTCAAAGATAACCTCTACCTCTAGGAATATCCAGAGTGCATGTTGTAGTTACAGAAGTGAAATCTTTCATGCTTTAACTTTTTTATATAAAAATAAAAAAAACTCTTTTCTGGGGGGGGGGGGGAAGTAGGTTTGGCTAATTTATATTTCATTTCTTGAACTTTATATCTATTATCTTCTAAAAATGTAGGTTTGTTTTATTGACTATTCTAAACCTGTTTAATTTTTGTGTTCCCTTTTTTCAGAAGAGTAAGAGGAAAGGGCATGAATACACAAACATTAAATATTCTTTATCGGACCAGACAAGTGGGGATCAGAGCCCACTTCCACCATGTACTCCGACCCCAACCTGTCCAGAGTAAGTAGCAGTTTCTCAAAGTAACAAGTGAGTTCCGAAATGCCTGTGAATTCAAGCAGATCCGGCAATAGAGAGTCTAGTTGTGGACTGTTTTCCTCGTAAGAGTTTATTTCTAATCATATAACAAAGAGGAATTTCCTGAGCAAACTTTTGCTCTCTTTCTCTACTCACTTTCACTTGAGGGTCCTTTATTAATTTTTTCTGGTGTCCCCACAAATGGAATTTTTCAATCCTGCACTGATTTTTTCATTTGACATAAATGGGGCCTTGGTGATAAACAGAGATTTTCAGCCAGGGGTTCGGGACCCTCAGAGGGGCCGCGAGCAGGTTTCAGAGGGTCCGCAAAGCAGGGCCAGTGTTAGACTTGCTGGGGCCTAGGGCAGAAAGCCGAAGTCCCACCACCTGGTGCTGAAGCCTGGGGCCCAGAGCCCTGGCACCCGGGGCTGAAGCCAAAGCCTGAGCAACATAGCTTCATGGGGGGCCCCTGTGGCATGGGGCCCCAATCAGTTGCCCTGCTTGCTACCCCCCAATGCCGGCCCTGGCTTTTATATGCAGAAAACCAGTTATTGTGGCACAGGTGGGCTGTGGAGATTTTATAGCATGTTGGGGGAGGGAGGTGGCTCAGAAAGAAAAACGTTGAGAATCCCTGCATTAAAACATAGGAAAAGGATATCTTGGGTGTGAAGCACTTAGATATGAAAAATATACCGGTTGCTCTATTCATAGAGCACAAATTATACATGGGTCCCTGCAGCCGCCAATGAATAAAAGAACTGTTTAGCAAGCATACATCAGCATTGCCTAACAGTAGTTTAGGACAGAAAGTAAAGAATACCATACCCCATTGAAATGATCTGTCTGTCTTGTGTATTTCTCCGGTGACAATTACTATGGTATCTGAGCATAGGGGAAATGTAGGTTGAAAGAATTCAGTGACCTAAGTTAGAATTTAGCCAAGACACCGAGGGTAATACCGCCATACTTGGGGGTGCAGTCGTGAAGAAAAAGGCCCCTGGTTCTCAGAAGGTTGTTCGGAAAGGTGGAGGAAAATCCGTTAATACTTTGCCATTCTGTTTCCCACTGTGTTGGGTTTTCTTGTTAACCTCCTCAATGACTAGCATTGCAGTAAGATTGCGATGCCACCCTATTGTAATCTTGCCTTCATCCTGTCCCAGGTTTTGTGCTGACTTAACTCTGTACAACCGTAATGATGTTAAAGTGGGCAACTTCAGTGCTTGCATGGGGTGGAGTTGTCTCAGAATCTGCCCCATTGATTGGGTCATGCAGAAATCACCCAATATTCTGAATCCAGATGCTCTGTGCTTTGAAGCGAATTGAACACGTTATTAGCTAACATCATTGAATTATGTGATATGTATTTATTTTCTAATAAATCTGACTTTTTCCCCCCTATAAAAATCTGTTATTTTAGAATGAGAGAAGATAGTGCTAGAGTATATGAAAATGTGGGGTTGATGCAGCAGCAGCAGAAAAGCTTTAGATGAGATGTACAGAAACTTCCATGCAAAGGAAGGTACGTACATTAGAAATTCTAGTATGATCTAGCCTAAAGCTGTTTTTATTGCACTATGGCATATTTTAACATAATCACAGTTCGATCATGAAATGTATATAAGCCAAGAATCTTTGCCATAGTGTCAGTTGGTTTAGCAGCTAAAATATTCAACATCATTTTCACAGCAACTTGATTTACCAATTGAGGGTAATATTTTGGACCCAGCAGAGCCAGATCTTAATGGAAAGAATTCCAATTCCAACACTTAGAAGTCAGGCCATTCAGAGCAAAGACTAGAGATCAGAGCTAATACTCCATCTTGCTTATAAAGTTTGAAGGTAGACTACCATTGTAAGTTAAAATTGGTTGATTATTGCACATCGGCAAGGATTGCAAGATCTGACTGAAACTTTAACTGCTAAACCAACTCACACTATGGCAAAGATTCTTGGATTAAATACATTTCAGAATTGAGATGGTGGTGCTCTTTGAGTCTGAGTATTAGTGAGCGTTGCTGGATTGGGCTGTAAGTGATTTTAAATCCTCTCATTTTGATCTATTAACCAAATATGTTTTATGCTCATGTTAGCATTGCTGAGCTGATACAGTATGGGAGGGTGGTGTAGATGCTGTTCTGCCTCTGACTAGAATCTCTCTCTATTTTTGGCACAGATGTAAGAGGCAAGCAAGAATCAGATAAACTTTCAGATCTCAGGGAGAGTCTGCAACACCATCCACTTTTGTATTACATTGAATAATTCTGGACTCGTAAACTGAGTCAGTTAGCTCTGGAAGTCAGTGATAAAATAAATATAGGGGGTCCATGATGTCATTTGTACATGGAGTCTCCCTTGAGAGAATAACTGAACTTTTAAAACTTCCTTAAATTAAAACTTTGTACAAGATTTTAGCATATGGGTTTAATATGCTTATGTGATGGAACACCTCTGGTTCAGAGAGGTGACTGGGCCAGTGATCTGCAAACATGTGATTTAGGTAGGCCTATCAGAGCCATTATGGCATATAAGGGACACAGCACCCGCCCTGACCCAATAGACTGTAACCCGTATCAGAGTTGGAAAGTGGTCCATAAACTAGGCATTTGTTACATAAGTCATGGTCTGATGATCTGTTTGATGGGTTTTTGCAGTATATCCTGTTTTGGAGTCTACATTTCAATAGCTCCCTAATCAGTATTCCCTACAAGCAGGGAACAGTACACATCTTAAAATCCTCTCAGTTATGTATTGCCACCCACTCAGCCCTCAAGGGAGTTAAACTACTAAAACCAATTTTAACTTACAATGGGAGTTTGCCTTCAGACTTCATAAGAAAGATGGAATATTCGCTCTGATCTCTGGTCTTTGCTCTGAATGGCCTGAGTTCTGAGTGTTGGAATTGGAATTCTTTCCTTTAAATTTATGTGAACTGGGGGCTTACAGAAGATATTACATAGACAGTCCTGAAGACTAAAACATTCTAACTCTGGAACAGATCCAACATAGACAGCTGCAATGTAAGCTTGCCCATGCTGCTTTGCAAGTATGCTTTGATCCTGGCCTATGCTAGGGACTTGGAGACCACCTAAAGAGACAAGGCAGCAGGCTGTCTAATCCTTGGCCTCTTTTACTGACGCTGTCAAAAAAGTGTCAACTGTGTTTGTATGATGTGGACAGGTGTCCACAAGGATCTGGACTGAAACCACTAACTGATTTCAGGTCACAATTGGATGCGAATGACTTTCAGTCACTGCCAGCTATGGGCAGATTGGAGCCAAGGCTCTGGAGTAGGAAGTGAAGGGTCTTCATCCTATTATTGATATAATATCACTAAACTAAGCCCTTACCATCACTCAAATAAGTACTTGGATTTTGGCTTACACTATATTTAAATACCTACCCGTTTTTGCCTGCTCCCCAGTCAAATGTAATTGAATATATTCATTTCACTCTTTCTGGTTCTCATAAACTAGCCTAGTATTGCAGTTTGCAATTTGAATTTAAGTTTTAAATGAACTTTATTCTAAAGTTAGGTTTCTATATCCCTTTGATTCATTCTTACGTTTTGGGCCAAAGCTACCTTATGGTGACCCTTTCAAGAATTAACAGTTTAGGCTTTTTTTATTGTCCAAGCCAACTGAAATGCAAAGTGAACAGCATAAATGTTGAAAAGTAAATTAGATCTTAATTCTTTCAGCTTCTGCTCTAACAAGTTGGCAATCTTCTTCCTTTTATGCTTAAAAAAAGGCCTTCCGACCTGTCACTGTCCCTTTGATAGAACATGTTTACAATTGTAAAGTGACAATGGAAAAGGTGGGATATGCCACTCCGCGTGAAAGTTGGGAGAAGACCAGACTATATCTCTTTAAACTGATGGATGCCTCTAGTTGTGGTGAAATTCCATCTGATATTTTAGATCTAAAATATCAATCACTGCTGTTTATGTTAAGTGTCAAAATGAAGTATTTCCATGTACGTTCAGAATGATGAATTATTATAGTATATGTTTCTAATGAGCTTTTAATTGTTTTCCCTTTCCCAGAAATGAATATTGTTTTTTAAAAAAGGTCAAGAAAGAGATGGAACAAGCTTCACATGAAGAATGAACTTTGAAGGCTTGGTACCTTTTTATTTATGGTGTTTAACCCTTCAATAATAAGCAAAACCTAAGACCATCTAAAGATCATTATATCCTTTCTCTCCAATATCTGATTTACAATTGCTCATTTTTCAAATAAAAAGGAAATCCTCTCTACAATGTAGAAAGATATTTTGTAGAATCTTAATTGCGAATCCAGCCAACTGTTAGACTGGCGTTCATCTGCTTCAAATAGCATTTTTGTTTCAAAATCTGGTTATTAACATTATTTCTTATCAGAGCAGTTGTGGGGATTTTTTTTTTGAATGGGGAAGCAATGATGTGGGTAAGTCCATTATATAAATATAAAATACTAATGGGAACAATTCTTGATTGTTTGAAGACAGTGGATCACCCACATTAAAAGTCAGCTACATGATAAAATTAGTCCTAATGCATTTCAAACTTGGTCTGAGTTTGACAGGGGTGAGCAGTTAATCTTTGATATGAAGATGTTTTTTGTGACAGCTGATGGCTTTGATTACTTCTCAGCTGAGTTGCTGGATGGGCTATTTTTGAGTAACTACAAAAAGTCGCCTTTGCATCAGACTAGAACATTCTATAGATGACCTGTACCCAAGATACCAATTTACAGCCACTCTGTCAAAAAAAAAAAAAAAAAAAGGGCAGCTGTCTAGCAGCTGTGGGGCCGCTGCCTATGTTAATTTTTCAGTGTTCATTTATTAAGCAGGAGATCTGACCTGTGGAGGCGAGACATTTTAGGAAGCTCCACAGTGACACTTGACATCGTATTAAAACAATGAAACCAGTAACCCCCTGTGCAGGCTGTTAGCTTAGGCTGAAGTGAACCCCGTCTTAAAAAATAGTTATTTGGGCCTTCTGGTTCTTAGTAAGGCCTTACACTAATGAAGGTAGCCTGGGGAAAAGGACTATATGGAAACTAGCTATCACCTAAAATTGCCTTAGTGAAAAGGGCAGCGCAGGTACCAGTCAACAGCAGCTTGTTCTGGTCTATTTCATCAGGCAGGAGTTTCATTAACGTTCTGCCTAAAGTGCCTTTCAGAGCCACATCCAATTTGCTGTCCATGTTTTAATTAAAAAAAAAAAAAATACTGCATCTATCTCTAAAAACACTTTTGATTGTTATTAATGAAACAAAATGCTTCCAGAGTGACGCCAGCAGTGAGAGATGCTGTTATAGTGCCACAGTTACCTGGGTTTCTTCATCTGCAGAAGAAGGGATGTAAACACTTCTCGGTTTCCTGCATTAAAGAAACTTTGCCCTGTCCTGTTGTATGAATCTGGATCTCCCATTGGAGCCTATAGTAGCTGAGGGTGTGCTCATGGCAGGATCAGGCTCGAGGAGTAGGTACCAGTGGTGTCTTAGCAGCATCTTTCCCCTCACTGCTGGTGGAGTTCTGAGAATTACGATGAAGCCACCAGGTGGTATTGAGGAATTATTATCATTTTTATTTAGAGTATGCAGATAATGGTAATCACTGCATTGTATTTCTGTATGTGCAGTAAGGGTGCAGGAGTGATGAAGTTACATTATTGGTCATAGTAGTGAAATTACACAAAAGCCTGGAATGTAATTAGTGCAGCATTTGTGTTCCCTACATTCATGTGGGGATTGCATTGGCTTTCCCTGAGAATGCTTTGCAAAGTCAAATGCTTCACATTTTGTGTTTGTCTGAACTGAATGAAGGCGCATCTTCACTTTAAGCTGAACTTTGTTACTTTGCCTCTTGTTCTTTGTTATAATACCTCTTGTCTTTTGGTCCTGGAACTCCTGTCACCAGCACACCATAATATTTGTGTCTTAATGTCATTATCTATAGCACAGTCATTAATATTTGCACCCTCTGTAGATCTAAAATTCTTATGGCTTGATGAAAGGATGGTCAGTTTTCATCTACTTGTGTTCGTTCAGTCACAAATAGAATATTTGCTTTATATCACCTTCCTTCCCCAGCCTCCGTGTACAGTTTCATCATGTTGACTTTTTCTGCAAAGGTTAAATAGGGATCATTTAAGTGCCGAGTTGTGTTTTTGAATTGAGTAATTCAATAACAGTCTAAATATCTGTTAATTGAAAATTTTGTGTAGCATTATGTGGTGCTATATTTCCTTGGATGCTGCAAGGTTTTAAATCAGGAGAAAATGAAGTGCATGTTCAGGATTAGAAATACTTTGTACCAATATCATAGGGGTAGCCATGTTAGTCTGGATCTGTAAAAAGCGAGAAAGAGTCCTGTGGCACCTTATGGACTAACAGACGTATTGAAGCATAAACTTTAGTGGGTGAATACCCACTTCGTCAGACGCATGTGGTGGAAATTTCTGATTAAGTGGGTATTCACCCATGAAAGCTTATGCTCCAATACGCCTGTTAGTCTATAAGGTGCCACAGGACACTCTCTCGCTTTGTACCAAAATGAAAGTTCAAAGGGAAGATCCTCTAAGCAGTAGCTTATGAACTGCACTAATGTGACCTGTCCTAAAGATTGACTTGTATTGGCTGTAACCAATAATATGGTGATGTATTCAGCATAAAGCTGCCTATCATAAGATAGCATTTAAAATGTGTGGAACTCAGCTCTGTAGTTATTTGTTCTTGAAACTGGGGAAATCTCATTTGTCTAGAATGTGTGTTAATCTTAAGGAGCACATGATGGATGAATGTTTTTTTTTTTTGTTTTTTTTTTTTTTTTAAATTAGAAAAGATTCCAAAAGATTGTATGCTAGAGAGAGCTGTTTCTTTTTAATTGGAGTGTCTGGCCCTGCTGAAAACCAAAGGGGGGATCTTGCAAGTTACAAACCAGCTGCCTTTCAAACATAGCTGACAGAGAGGTAACTTAGTGTGTCTTTCTCTTTTAATATTATTTTAAACATTGGTTGTTTTATTACAAATCAAACAAAAGATATAAATGTTCTGTGGTACAGGGGAAAAATGGATACTTGGGTTTCATGTATTTTTAGTGGGTTTTTAAAAACTAATTTAACATCACTCTACAAGCTATTGCTGTAACAGTGGAATGGAAAAGGGATGCAGTTTTGAAGTGTTCTATTGCAGAAGACGTTATACCACAAGGGAAATGTAAACCAATTCCGAAGGCACAGTATTGTATGCCAGCAAGAATCTGCTGCAGACCCTCATTTACTGAACGTTTTATAGCATACACTTTCATTTCAGGTAACCTTTATTAGGACTGATTAGTTCTTCTATTGACCAAACTTTTTTTTCTCTTGAGGTATATGTGTTCAAAAATACAACTTCATAAGCTGTATCCTAGCTATAACACTTGTTTCCTTTTTCATTGTAGGGATGGGATAAATCAAACAGTTGGTACTAGGACAATTTTTTCATAACTTCATTATTTCAAATTAATTTTTAATTGTTTCCATTTTTAAATAGCAAAACATGTAATTAATTGCAGACCTGGTTATTTATGACACTTGTGATTTTTTTATTACAGTACTAAAGGCTAATGAAAAAAGATCCTTTATTAGGTGGACTAGACCGTACATTTATTTTTTCCTGCAATGTATGAAGTATTGTACCAGAGTATTAAATGAAATGTAATATTTTATTGAAAATCTCTATCCTTTAAAAGGAGGACATTTAGGATGTCATCAATTTGATGTGAATCATGTAAATGTTAATAATGATGCGCTGTTTTATTATACATTTAGTGTTTCAAAAGACTCACTTATTGCCTTTTGCCCACATACATTCTGTAGATCATTTACAATTGTCAAAATGTGACATTAAAAGAATAGCTCATGTATAGAAATATTAGTGGTTGTTCATTGTTTTCCCTGCTGGTATTTATGGGTGTTAGTTCAGCTGCTTTGCGAGCTGCGCTGTGATTTTTATTGCTGCAAGGTTATAATGATCAGAATAAAAGCATATTTGTAAACAGCAGAATTAAAAATTAGGAATAAAAATAATTTTTCTTATAAGATGGTTTTGGACCATTACTCCAATTCTTTTTCTGTAGCGCTTATATTAAAGTCAAGGTTTCTTTCGTTAGGTAACCCCCACTCTAGACTGATCGAATTCCAGTCAGCCTCCCTCCATGGTGTAGCTCTGTGTTATGTAGAGGGTCTTTGCTCCCCACAAGAAGAGCTTGAGCACAACCAAGCTTCTTTTGTAATATATGGTATTTCAGTGTTATTAACCCACTGCTTTTACTGCCCACTGCAAATTGGATAGCCCTGTAGCAAACCACTCAGTTCTTTCTCAGCACAACTCATCCAGTTAACTTCCAGAGGCCTGTGATTTTTGTGTGTCTGCCTCATTGGACATCTACAAGAGAGTCTGGTTTCCCTCCTCTCTCTCTTCCTGGTTGACTGGACCTGTGTAAGTCTGCTGCTCTTTGCACTCAAATAGTGCAGGGAAAATCCCTAAAGCCATGATGGGCAATAGCTTCCTCTCCAGCTGAATGTTTAATGTGTTACTGAACCCTTTTAAAGGGAGAAAGGAATATAAAGTTCAATGGGGAGGAGAAGAGAACAGCTGTCCCACCCCTCCCTTTGTGTATTTGGGGACTTCAGTTGAGTACCGTGGGGGGCGAAGCTGCTGCTTTCATTTATTTCTGATGCTTTCTTCTCCGAGCTGCTTCCTTGTTTCTTGCAGAGATGTCAACTGTACAGCTCACATCTTCAGGGCTCTGATGTACCCTGGGATCCTTGTGTGCCAGCGCCACGCAGTGATTCAGAGGAGGGGCTGGTGCTTCTGTAGGGGCTGTGCTGCCCCTCAGGCTCCGTTCTGCCAGCTGCTGCTGCGGCACTTCAAAAGCGATTGAAATCCTTGGATCTCTGAAGCACTTGGAGCAGGGTGCATTTAAAATCCAGTGCTCTGCCTGGTCCCTGGAGTGGCGCAGAGGATACGCATGCCCCCAAGTCTAAATACAGCAGCTCAGTCTAATTTTAGGCCTACCAGCCCAGGCAGTATCACACCATAAAAGCAATTGGGAACAACTCTTACTAGGCGTTTTGTTACCATTATTGGCTCTCCAGAACCAAGCAGCCTGCACTACTGAGTCTGTTTCACAGTAATATGAACTAATTATAATGAATGGGATGGTCTAGACAGTATTTGGTCCTGCCATGCGGGCAGGGGACTGGACTCGATGACCTCTCGAGGTCCCTTCCAGTCCTAGGTTCTATGAATGGAACAACAACACTGAGTTAAACCTCTCGGTAGATTGTGCTTACAGATGCTGATCTGTGGAAATATAAATGAGCCAATCTGTGCTCTTTAAGAAGCAGGCGCTGTGTTGCAATACGGACAGCATGAGGAGATGCCAGTTGGACACAGAGCAAATATCAGCCAAGTTTGTTGTAAAACAAGCTCAATCTCAAAGTAATGGAAAGGCATAAAAATAATCCACTGAAATGTCGGGAAGAAAGCAAATTTCCACTGTTAGAGCCTTTGTGGATTTAAATACAAGCGGAATTCAAATGAGGACAGTAGCCACGTAGAGCATCTGCCTTTTAAGATTATAATCCTGCAGGGTAAAATGGTATGAATGTGTCTAAAAGGGGTGTGTTGGGTTTGGATCCACTTTTGTGTATTGCATGAGAAATGCATACCACTTAGGGGGTTGGAGTTATTCAGTCCAGTTTGCGAACTGTACTTCAGAAATTGAAATAAT